GCTTTCCTAGTTCAAAATAACTTGTTTTATCATTTGTTATAATAATTTTTACTTTTATCAAAGTATATGAACGATTAATTTTATAGTGCTTTTCTTTTTTTTTTTTTGTTATTCTTGTGTAAAATTTCTATGTAGAATTTAGGTAAACTTTTGTGTTAATTAGAATTTCCGAAATTTCTAATAAAATTTCCATATAATTACAATACTTTTTCAGAATTTACACGTTGTATAAAAGTGATCAAAACGAACTTGGGCATTAGGTTTGCACAGCTGTGGATACCTATACATTAAAACGTTTATTGTCAGAACTAATAAGACAAATGTCGTTCCAATAATCAGTCTAGGAAAACTAAAGTTGCAACTATGTAATAAAATAATTTTAAAAAGTATATGAAAGAACACATGGTAAACGTATTATAAAACGTATATAAATAATTCTTAAATTTGGTTAAGTTTCCTATTTCTCATATGATGAATATTTGAAAGGCATCTAATTCTTTTTTAAATTTTCGCTCATTTTGATTTAATATTCACTTCTGCGTTGTCTGATTTAATTGATTGTTCATCGTTAATTTTACACTTTTCTGAGAATGGTTACTGCTTTTATCACTCACCTTTTTCTCAAATTCTAGTAGTTTCAATCCATTTTTTAAAATTCCAGCAACAGTATACATATTTCGTGGCTGAACTAGAAACTATCTTCAAAACTTATTTTTCAATTCCACCATTTTTTTTCTCATACTATTCATAGTGTAAACGAAACTCATATCTAACATTTTCGAGGCAAATACAAATTTCCAAGTATAAAGAGTAACTAATATTCCATTTGTGTGTGTGATAATCGACGCTATACTAAACTTCTTTCGTGTTATGCATAGCCTTCAGGGATACGTCGATATTTCATTTATAAATTTCCTCGTTTGAATCTAACTCTCATAACTAGTTGCTGTGAATGTTGCACCACCCGAGTATCATTTGTTTCCTTATTTGCAAAACTTCTCGAATGATGATGTGTTTCAATCTTTTGACGACAGAAACAAGAACTTTTACGAACGTAAAGATGACAAAAAGTCGTTGATAAATATGGACAATACATTGCTTATAAAAAAATTGTTTTTCATTTTATTAAAAAAATCCCGGTTGCCAAAGTAATGATTTTTGTGATGCGTGCGGAATGCACTGTAGTTTTGTCGCGAACGCGCCACGTAAGCGTGTCTTTGTTTCCCGGTCAGCTTGCCACGCGTTTCAGGTATTCCATTATCGGCGTACTTATCGGGTCCGCGGGACGGTTCGCAATAATTTCGCAACACCTTCGTCCGCCGATCCGCGATCGAGTGTCCTCTCGCGCGGCAACGAGACAGCATCCATGCTTCTCGGAAGCCCGGGCGCAAGAAACCGTGGAGCCGACGGCGTGAGAATAAAGTGGAACGAAAACCACGCGGAAAAGAAAAGGCGTTCCACGAATGAAGTGGTGGACGAAGGGGCAACAGAGGAAGAAGAGGACGAAGTAGAAGAAAAGGCCCCGTGGTCTGGAATTGAAATGCATCGGAGGGGAACGAAAAGTTGATCCTCTCCTGGAAATACCGGGGACCAATTGTCCAGAGAGGGACGAGATTCCTTCTCTTGTCAGGAATTCAACTCGCGAGTCCAACGACAAAGTGAATTCCTGAAGGACGGAGGATGCACGGAGGGTTCCCGATCCTCCGCAGTTAAACGGATCTGAGATTTCTGGCTCCCCCAAAAAAGGGCCCCGAGCTCTCGTAATTGGGCCTGCACATCCTTTTACCTTGTCGTTCGTGCCACTTGTTCCCGCTGATCTCCGAAGGATCAAGAAAGATCGTACGATGAGATTGACGCTTTTTTCCGTCGCCATCGATCCGACCGGTCTATATATATACTCTTCGTCCCTCTTCTCTCTCGTTGATGCAGAATTATCGCTTCATTACCGATCGCTCCTGGCTACGTTAATTAAGTAGCGTTGTACTCCAGGGTGAGAAACGTCACGTCCGATTGTACACGGTGTCAAAACGTGGTTTGCCGTGGCTAGGCATAGACGAACTCTACAGCCTCGAATCTTTTTCAAGTCAAGTTTAGTTTTCGCTAAAATTACAATTTAAATAGCAAATGGTAACTAAATTTCACGCATGACGGATGTAGTCGTGAAACACAGCTGACTGGTTAAAGCGAGTTAGTACACTATTATAGTTGAAAGGGAAACAAACGTAATGCAATGGAAGTGTTTATAGTTGAGCAGCAAGGAAAGCTGTGTATAATGGCTGTGCAGCTAGAAACAAAAATGTTTTTCTAGACACTACCTTTGTTACTCTGAAATTAAGGGCTGCGTTCATCTTCATCCATCAAACATCTAAGATATAAAACGTCGTCACTAGAGTTGATTTTTGTAACATCGTGAGACGGTTAAAAATTCAACAGCAACAATGGAAGGTTGTTCATCCAACAGCTGTCGTTTCCTGGTAGCACGAGGACCGCGTCTAGAGCGTTTCGTTCCGAATAATTCTTAACCCTTAATCTGGTAATTTTTTCTCCTCGAGTTTCGGTCTTCGGTCCTCCGACCTCGGAGAAGTTTTATATATCGGCGGAACGGAGTGCATCCCGTATTCATGCCTCGTATCCCAAAATCCGGCGCTATTTATGGCCGGTACGTCGACGAGAAAGTCTCCTCTTTCCCTTGATCCCTAAAGGCCACGGGGAATTCCGTTATCTCGAAATCTCGGCGACTTAAAACTCGAGCATCCCCGCACGTCGGGGAATCGGAGAATCGACCTAACGATTTATGAATGGGGACCCGATCGCGTCGTTGCCAATAGACAGACCCCGCTACCTTCCACTTTCTCGGTGTTTCTCTTTCCATCAACCCCGTGTTCGCCGAAAGACCGCGTCGCGGGTCCCCAGAAGTTTACGAGTACCGGGTCGCGCGGGTCGCTTTTAAACGAAACTCACGCCAAGGAGGGGAAAAAAAAAAGAAAACGGAAGAGCAGCGCCGGAGAAGCAGCACCACGACAAATCCCAGTGACGTAATTTCAGACGGTCGTCGAACCTGAGACCTCGAGAGTCGCACCACGAGACCCACGGCTTTCATTCATTCGGGGTGGGGACGAACGCATACGACGTGCACACGTGCATGCCGCGCCTCGAATCGCAATCGCGAAATTCTTCCAACCCGACGATACCCAACGACAAACGTATCCTCGGGAATCAAACGGAGAAAGTCTGGTCCCGCGGTTAGAAGCATGGCTTTTCTTACCTGACGACTGTTTCACACCGACGCACAGTGTGCCGCGTAAATGGGAATTCGGGACAAAAATCATGGCTCCTAAACTAGTCAAATTTCGACCTATGACCTCTCATACGTTCTCAAAGTGAAAAATTATACATTTTTGTTAAAAAATTTGAAGGGACCTTGATTTTTTGTTGAATTAAAAATTGTTTTATTAATTTCTTGTCAAGTGATTGCTGTGTAACTTTTGTTCGAAAAGATTTTTGATTTGGTTTGGAGGAAATGCCTGAAACATCGTAGCGATCATTTCGATCGTAACTTTTCATCTGTGTAATGTTTTTCCTTTATTTCTTTTTAATTGAAATGTAAAATAGATACAGAAACAATTTCTTATCTTGTAAATTAATTAAAAAACATTTTTTATTAGAGTAGTTCCGATTCTGATTCGGAGCAGGTATCAGTACTTGCAATAATGATTTTGATCATTTTCTCTGTTTCGAGCAAATTCGAGCAGCTAAAATTGGTGTTGAATTAAAATTTAATGTGCCCTAAATTAACATATAAAAAATCATCGAGGTACTTTTTGGTATTTTTTCTTAAGCTCAATTCAAAGTTAATAAACATTTAACACAAATAATTGGGACAAATTGTTAATACTGTAAAAATATTGTTTAGCAGTTTGGAAGGTATTATGATACTGTATATAACTTGCAAAAATCAAATTAAAAACACAAACTTTCACCGAAAATTACAATACATTTTTGGCATTATTTTCAACAACAAATTGGTAAATTCAGTAAAAGTTATGGATAGCGTTAAAATTTACGTTTCTTCATTAACATTTTGGGATACAAGAATTTATAAAACATAGACTTCAGTTTTTTTTTAATTTTGTCCATTGCTGGACACACTGTGCGACGCCCGATCAGTTTGTAAATAGCGATGGGCCACTCGAATCTGAACTTTTAAATGGTTCAAAGTTTTTAAAACTACGAAGATTCGAGTCGTTTCGAAGCTTAGAACTCTTAAATGTCATGGGTATCTTAAGTCTCGAAGGTCTTGATAGATTTGAGAGTGTTAAGAGATTAGATAGTATTAGGTCGTTGCATATGATATGTCGTCTTCGATCAAAATAATTTTCACGCGATTCTACACATTTTTACCAACAATTAATTAACTTGAACATCCCAGACTAAAAAAGGTTGGCAATTCGAGAGTTTAGGAATTTTTGAAATGCTGTTTTTATACCTTCTTTATCCTTTAAAAAGTGGTCTAAATGTCTAAAAAAAGTGAAAGTCTCTAGAGCAGCGGTTCTCAATCTGTGATATGCGAACCATCGGTGGTATTATATCAAATTTTAGAATCATGTATTATCATGTACGGAAAAATGTTAAAAGAGTAAACAAATCAAAAGTTATTGTAGCCAATTTACTATAACAGAAATAACTAATTACTATAACAGAAATTCTTGATTAAAAATGTTGGTTTTGCAAATAACTATTTTTAGTTATTGCTAAATTAGCTAAATTTTATAACTTAATTCTTATTATAAATTTGATTATAAAGACCTCTATTAAGATCCTCTAAGACATTCAAGATTTTTAGAACTCATCAAGACTTTTAAGGGTTCTAAGCGTCGAATCATATTCGAATCGATTCGAATTTTTCGGTATATTTGTATATAAATCGATTCGAAGTGCTTCAAACCCCATCACTAGTTGGAAAGATTCGGATACCCTCTCTCTTTCTTAACCTGTTTCAGGGATCATGGGATCGACGTGTGATCTAAGGGTGGCGATCCTGCTGCTCGTTCAGTCGACCCTGCTGCTTGCACATCGAGAGCACAAGGTTTATAGATCTTTCCGTTTCGTTGTGCGGTAGGGTAAATGTACCAATTACTGTGATAGTAAGCTCTAACTGCACTTTATTTTACTATATCTTTCGATTTATTATTAAAAAAACATTTAGTAACTATTGTTTTGTCAAGACTTGTATATTTTTTATTGGAGAAAAAATTGATTGTTGAAAATTATGTTAATGTAAAATATACAGGGTCACTCCTCGGAAAAATTTTAATGGGAGATCTTAGAGGCGAAAATAAGACGAAAATCGAGAATATCTATTTCTTCATTGAGGCTTCGTTAAAGAGTTATTAAAAAATTTCGAATCAAAGAGTGACGTTGGGCGTAATCATTGCTTGTAGGTCCACAATATCGTGCTATACCCGGACAAGCACAGCTGGTGCAAGACAACCCCCATCAAGCAGGTAGTCACGTGGCCGCAGTGTTCCTCGCAAGAGTTGGACAACAATGTGTGCGTTGGGGCTTGTTTCTCATACATGGTGCCTCACAGCGAACCCTCTGCACCCGGTGACTTGATAAGACCCTACTGTGACTCCTGTCAGCCTTTGGACAGCGTCTGGCACACGGTAAGCGAATGAACAGACGTCGCGACACGTTTCGAACTTTGTCACTTGGATGATAATTTTCAGGTGACTCTGGATTGCAAGGACGAAGAGAACAACCCGATAACGATGCAGAAGAAGGTTCAAATCATCACCAATTGCTCCTGCAGCTCGTGCATGGAGACGTCCAGGATCAAACCCGACTATAACACCCTGCTTCAGTCGCTGACCGAGGAGAACTTGGACAAGAACGTGAACATCATCCACGAAACGCCGGACCTGCTGTTGAATCCTAATCTGAACTCCTCGAAGAACACCACCAGAGACGGCGTCGAGGCTAACGAGAGGTTCTTGCAGATATTCAAACAGCTGAAGGACTCGGAGAAGCTGGACGAGTCCGGCGCCAAGGAACTGTTCTCCAAGTTCGAGGAAGATGTAGATCTGGACAAACTGAGGGAACTGCTGAAGAGGTACAGCCAAGAGGAGGAGAGGCAAAACTCGCATCAGCACCAACATCAGCACCAGTCGTCCGGGAAGCAGCAGCAGCAGCAACAGCAACAACAGCAGCATCACTCGACGACGACGGTTCTTCATCGAGGTCCTCATCACTCGATGGTCCTGGACTCTGACGTGAAAGAAAAGATCGACGTCGAACCGCACTATCTTCATCCGGCGGTCGCCGGCCAGGAGATCAGCTACCACGACAACGTCCTCGTGGACAAGGATAAGAAGAAAGATTTCTGAACGTATAGAGGACGTTCCTCTCGCCAAGAAAACGCGTGGCTAGTTAACTTTAGATGTCAAACTGGTCAGAATTAATAGGAAACATTATTGGTATAGATGAAAATACTCTGCTCGTCTTACGGGATAGTTTCTGTTTCTTTTTCTGTTAGGATCGTTTGTTGCCTAGTCCAATCTGCATTCTATTGTTCGGTTCGATGACTGAGCTACGATTTAACCGTTCAGCTTGATCCACTGTAAATAGAGACGGTTCTTCGTTCTCTGTCTTTTTTTTTTTTTAATAGAAAAAGGATGACGCTTTGTTTTGTATTGTATGTACTATTTCGTTAATGTAGTAGGCGTTATTGACGAAGGGTAAACTGCTCGTTTGAATTTGCTTGGATTGGGTGGCAGAAGTCTCGTTATAGCTCGATTGTTAAATGGATGCGTTAGAAAAGAAAATTCTTAATCGCCATTGGAGATAAGATGCTGAAAGGGGAATAAAGAGAGAGATGAAATTCTAATATATATTTAATTATTATTATTATTAATTAATTAACTATTTAACGTACTCGCGCGTCTAATAAAGGAATTTACGTCTGTTTATATTTACACCTTAACTTTCCACAACTGGCAAACATTGTAAACGTCCGTAGGCGTTTGTTTTTTTTATCATGTTGACTGCTTCGAAGCATATATTGTATCCATTGTCTCGTAGAGAATAAACAAAGAGTCAGCACGAGATATCTTCCTGGTGCATACCCACTCGATTTCCTCGCGATTTCCAAATCACTTAGGGTCTCATCAATTTTCTAATCTTGGCATGCTTGGAGTTTCAGATCGTAGCTTTTCAGAGTCATTGCGAAATCGTCAGGATTCTCTTATATTTCAGTTTTAGAAGAAGATTCTCTACAGTTGTATGCTCCAGAACATCTTGAAAGCTCAAGAAAAATTGCTTGAAATCTTAAATTAAACCACGATTTCTCGACAACCAGAGAACAGACAATGGAGTTAAACGCATCACGATTAATCTAACTTGACTCGTTCAGGCATATTCTATGGATACTATTGCGTACACTATCGGTGTAATTTGTCAACAAAGAAGAACATGAGCCTGTCACCCAACAATTTTACGATTACAAATGTATGCATTGAGAACTCTAACGCGTGTACGATTCGTGCAGTCTACCGATAGAAGAAACGACATCTTCGAAATGGCACTATGTTGATGGTTGCTGGTATCCTCCGACGGCGGATCCAACGAGACAATCGGAACGAAGCTAAAAGAGAAAGGAAGGTTGAAAGAAACGCCACGTCGAACGTAAACATTCATTAAGCGTCCGACTTGGCAAATCGTGCCATAGGTGTGCAACGTGGAATGCAAATAAAGCAATTAAGAGCACGGCCAGCATCGCGTCGATGGAGGTGAAAACAGAGGAGGACGGAAACGCAGGGAACGGCGATACGAAACAACTTATAGCGATACTTTCTCTTCTAACTAAAACGAAGACGCAAACTCGACGACGAAACGACGCACTGAATTAGCTTGGTAAGCATCGATAATCGTCCGGCTTGATTATACTGCCTATTATAGCGTTCGTACAGCTCATATTTTACGTTACAGTGCCACGATTCGAGTAGAGACACACGAGTCTTCGGTCACTCTCGCTTTCTTCTAGGTTCTTCGACGTCGATGACGTTCGTTTTGATACTTGGATTCGGTTGAATCATTATCAATTTACCTGGACTTATCAGATAACTACATACTCGATCGCAAGATGGAAACCGATTATACGATTTTCAGAAAGTATAGAGTATTTTCATATATTAGAATATTCATTTTTCCGATGTTCATTATCCTGTATTATATGATAACATAAATATCAATAGCAGGAACGAAGAGTTTTCTTTAAAATTTTCGAATCCTATATTTGTTTGGCTATCATGTTGTTTGTATAACATGTGTATTTATCTGAAATCCTTTTTCTACGTTTCTTGATGCTTCGTGGATTCTTAATAAAACCGATTCCTAGGTCCAGAATAGAATTTGTTACAAATTCGTAATACCATGCTAGACAAAGCACGTAAAGCAGGGTAGAACCTCGATAAACGTACTTTCCACGATTACATAATATGACCTAACCTTGATCGTTGCGATGTATCGATCAGCAGAAGGGATGATAGAGTTTATCCTCAGGAGGTATACCTGTCTAGAATTTTGAAAAAATCAATTCGTTTCTTTATTTCATTTTCTCTGAACAAATGGCTTGGAAATATGGGTGCAATTTCGATTTGCAAAAATAATAAAATTATAGAGGTTTGAATACGTTTGCTACACACAGTATTTTTCTCAAACCTTATTTTCTGCATTGACTGTCATTTGAAATAAATCAGCAACAAACGTGTCTTTATTACTTGAATTTTAACTTTTTCATATGCTAAAGATGAAAAAAAGGGTAAAAACTCGGAACTTTAGCTTTCAAACGCTATTTCTTTATTTATCAAGGTTTTGATTTCTTCCTAGTTCATGCTATAACTACACACTTTCTAACGAAGATACTTTTTCCCCTTTTTTCAGATTAACAGAACGGCTGGAATTGTGTCAACTGTAAGGACAGTCTCTTAGAGGAAGTTTCTTCGATGATTTGTAGATCGTAGAATTTTCATTATTTTTGCTTGAAAAAAATACTGTGTATACTGAAAATATGAGTAAATTTTTCTTTAAAAAATAACAGAGAAGGCCTAAAAGTTCTATGTCTTGACCGGAATACTCTCTTAAGAGAAATGATTAAGGTAACAAAATTAAACTATTTGTAATTCTGATGAAAGAAACGTGGCTTTTAATGAGAGCAGTCAGCACAAAAATATTTTTTCGATAAATGTATATTTTTATAAAATCAACGTTTCGACCATCCTTGCGTGGCCTTCTTCAGAATAAATTCTATAAATATATTATGAAGCTTATGTGAAAAATAATGGATTCCTTTTTCCTCAATCTAATATAATGTCTTCGTAGAATTTTTCCTAAGGTTGATGACCGAAACGTGAATTTTATGAAAATAAAAATTCACTTGCAGAGGTATATTCTTTTTATAGGAAAATTTCTTGTCATTTTCTGTTAATTTTGTACAAGATAAATCTTCCCTATAGAAATTCGGAACCAGAGTCCTCCGTTGTAGAGTAGCGAACTTGACTTGCAACTACCATACTTATGAAATCCTTTACTATAATTCAGCGTGTGTATTGCAAGAAAAACCTTAAATTTTTGGTTAAATCATTAATCATGGAGCATTATCACGTACACTTCTTTTATTCGTTTCAACAAAGTCTACAGTTTGCAAAAGGAACGAAGTCATTCATCCTTCAAGGCATTTTTTATAAAAATGGCCAACTTTGAACAACTAATATTTTAGAATTTGGTGTGATCCAACATTTTCAGTCCATTCTTGTTTGAAAATCGCTCAGTCCAGGTCGTGACCTTCCCTTGTTAGAGTCGTTACACGGGAATTCCCCCCTCCCACAGAGAACAGTCCCATCCAGGGGTTCGCGGGCCCCGGTTTGAGAGACGCTGCGTTAGAAAGAGGCGGAAAGAGTCAGCCGCGAATGGAACGATCTCCCGATCAGTCGGTTGCTCGATTTGGATTTCAAAAGTTGCGGTTCGCGATCGGTACACAATATGATAAGCGGGGTCGGCGGTTCGTGCGACGGGCACCAGTTCCAGCGGAATAATCGTCGCTGATAAGAAGCTGTTTTGGCCAATCAGCGGGTACGGATTCGAGCGGTTCATCGGTACGGCAGCGATTACATAGCTGACCGACTCGGGGGACCCATGAGCGGATCGGCAGTGTTGCTCAGCGCTCCGTTGCGTGTTCCTGTTGCCTTTCTGCGCGGTCGCGTAGCGTTCTCTTTGACGGCGCAGCCGCGCGTGCCACCGGGACGAACGGTCCCCTCCGGGAAAATGTTGCCCCGTTGCTGACCCGGGACGAAGCCGCGACGGCCCCGGTGCGGTGACAAGCAATGCTCGACAAGCCCCTGGTGTTCGACTACTTTTAAATGCCGAACTCTCCGACAACAACTGTCGCCGGTATACCACGGTGGAGAAAGAAGGATTTCGAACGAGCCTCCTCCGAGCCGAGGATAATCACCATGAACGGTAGGGACTCTGTTGCTTTGGAAAGTACACGCTTGACGTTAGAGCTGTTACGACGTTACGATCGTTCGAGTAGTACGAAATTCCTAATGATCAGTCTTCTTCGATCTCTTTCTAGGCCACGTAACAATCTGTTTTTTTTTTTTGTTAATTGTATTTCACGTTTTTAGCGTAATAAAGTGTGGAACCCGAAACCTTGAACGGTCAAATTAAACAGAGCTCGTTCCTAAAAGCGTAGCTATCGACCTGCACATTTTGAGTCATGATCGTTATGGGGTTAACGACTGTTATGAGTAGACTACGGATCTTTATGCAAATTCACATTTTTATTAATAGAATTAATCAAACTGAAGCTTCGCAGAAGCTTCAACCCCTAAATATAATAATTCGTATCTTACTTTAAGTATTTCTTATATTTTTGCATATTAAATGCATTCTGTAGTTTTTTGAGGATTAAAATTTCCCATGAATGCATAAACATCCGCAGTCTAGTTATGAGCAACTGTTTTTTTCTCGTTAATAGCTGTTATCAGCGATTGAAATAAAATTTCTCTCATTGGTAACTGTTATTTTATTGACCCTCGTCAATAATAATTATGGGCAAGGAAAAATTTTGTTCAAGAGTTATAATTATTACTTGTAATCAAAAACATTTGAATCGAAGAAATAATTGTTATTCTACGATTTTTGATCATTGTGGTGATAACATTTTGTTTAACATTTAGATTATTATTTGTAATCAAAAACATTTAAATCGAAGAAATTACAGGCGGTTATAGGATAGTTATCCTATGTTTTTTGTCTATTGTGGTTATAACAGTTAGGGTCTCCGTTTGGTACGTCTCTGACGATGGAATAATACCGAACCTTCGAAGTTTGATCTCGATGACCCAAAGATCCGACGATTCGTACACCGAGATCTTCTAAGTCTTGCTACTCGGAAATTCTGGGACTTGGTTCGTGAGATTGCAATGAGGATCAAATCATTGTTTGCTTTTGAGAATCTTTACACTACAAAATTAGAATTCTTGGGAGCAAGAACCAGAACCACGTTAACTGAGGATTCTAATATTTAAACGTATGAAAGTTTGAGAATTTTCAACAAAACGTCTAATATCTCAGGTAGAATTTGATTGATAAGACTTATCAACGAAGTAATCAGAAACATAGAACGATATGTCATTTGGATTTAGGAATTCGCTACTTACGAGATAAACAGTTATAACTTTTAAACAACGTAGACTGCTATCGCTAGAATCGTAACGTGCAGTTTATTTCAACCGCCATTTATAAAAAGAATTCTTTCATCTTACAGTCAGATCGATACCAAAATTTACATTATTATTTTGACTCGATATAAATTATAAGATTTGGTTGTTACAAATTTTTTCATTTTATCTCTGTCATTAACATTAATTCACTGTCAATTGCAAGTAACCTCGTTTCAATATTTGCTTATTAAAGTTTGGTCTTCTAATGAAAATTTATTTACCTACATATTTCTAAGTATTAAACATCAAAAGGGGATCTAAATTA